AATAGGGAAGGGTGGAGGGGGGTGAAGGGAGGGCAGGGGAAGGGGAAAAAATAAGAACCAAGAGACTCATGTAATGGTACAAGATCCCAATGATGTATGTAACTGTATTTTATACCTAAAATGTACCAATAAATTTAATGGGGGGGGGGAGTTACAAAGAACAGACAACCAAGGAAATGACTAACCTGCCTTCGGGTGACAGGGACACTATCTTCTTTGATGATTGCATTTCAAAGGTATAGTTCCAATTCCTGAGAAAGATCATTTCCTGAGAGGTAAAACTACCAAAGGGCTTCTAATATCAAAGGGACAGGGAGAGAACTGGTAATTACAAGTTTTCTAAAATAAATTATCTAAGAAAAGTTAACCTATAGTCAAGTAGAAACCTGTCTAAAGTTTGTCAAGCAGAGAGAAATGTTAAGGCCTTCTTCATCACCATGGAGAACATGGGTCTCAGCTTACCTAGTTTGAAAATTAGGGTCTCAAAGAGTCTTTAAAAGTGAAAATTTTTACATGAAGGAGAGGGAGAGAGAGAAGGGTGCTTTCAAAAGAGTTTTCTGAGAAATAATTTCTTAGCTTTACAGTTGCCCAGCACTGGCGAACGCTAATATTTTAAAGAAGACCATTCCAACTTTTAAAGATCTCCAAGTCTAGTAAGGAAGATAAGAACAAATAATGATAACAGCAAAGGTAAGCATTATAAGAGGCCTTTACTACAAAAGCACTTTGGTACCACAGATGGTAACAGCAGCTCACGTTTATAAGTACTTATATTCTAAGAGCTTGACATTTAATCCTCACAAAACCTTGCAAGATACTAGTACCTCCCTCACTTGATAAAAAAAACTGAGACACAGAGACGCCAAATAACGCTTAAAACAATGGCGATTACTAACTCTAGTGCCCGGATTCCAGGGGCTGTGCTCCTACGGCCCGGAAGACTGGTGCAAGCTTTATACAGAGGTCATATTTGCTGAGCCATGAAAAACACGCAGGACTTGTAAGGTGGAACACTAGGACAGGAGAGTTGGATGTTAGGGACGAATACAACTTTACTCAAGAGCAATCGCCTGATTCCTGTCGGTCCAACACAGACGGCAGGTGTGTTCGGACCCGGAACGTTGGAAAAGCAGGACCAGAGTAACCTAGCACCGCCTTCTCAAGGGCGAGCACTTTCTCCTTTATGGCTCCGGGCTCCGGGCCGGAACCGACGCGAGAGGGGCTCTCACAGAAGCTACAGCCCGGGAGGCGTCCCCCGTGACACAGGATCTGGTCCCTGGAAGGACACCAAGAGCCTTCCCTCCCCCCAGGGTCAGGAAAAACCTAGGAAAATGCAACTAGAGCTACCCGGAAAGTGAGAGTCCTTTCCAAGTCCCCTTTCATTTTCAAATGCAAAGCCGGAGGGCGCGAGGTCAAGTTCTAGAGTTACCACAGCCCGGCCCTAAGGCCAAAAATGCAGGATAGCCAGAGATTCTCGCCCTCGGGCTCTGGCCGGACCCTGTACTCCTTCCTGTCAAATGCCGAGCCGACGCCATGCTGTCCCGCCAGTCTCCAGGACTCCCGCCCAAATTACCCAGGAAGCTGTGGGGCCCTGACCGGATTAGAACCACGAAGGCGGTGGGTGTGGCAAATAAACTCTGGGATCACTGCTGTAGCAGCCAATGAGCTCCTTCTGCCTGCCCGCCCCGCCCCGGCCAGATTGAGCTAATTGGTCTACCTCTGCAGAACACTATCTATTTTGGGAAATTGCGGCTGCAGCAGTCCCCCGAAGCTGGAGATGCAGAGCCTGGGACTTGGGATACCCTCCCAGCCCAGTGAAACTGTGGAGATGCCTCTCCTGTTTGGCGATGGGTGGGTCGTGAGCCGAACAGGGCTGGAGGTGGACTGAGCCAATCGCATCCGGCCTTCAGAGCTCCCACTTGGGCCAACGATCAAACCCTGGTCCTTTCCAAGCGATAGCCCACTTTCAGCTAATTGTGTAATGCTGGGCTCCTCTTCCAGCCTGTGAACAACCGCAGTGTCCTCTGAGCCGCCTTTTCCCTTACTCACTCGAAGAAACCACCCCTGACCCCATGTTCTGCGTTTATTGGGCTCTCTTTGGGTTCCCATAATAACAAGTGCCTTTACCCGTCGCCGTACTCCCTTACTGAGCACTTATTTTGGCACGTATTTGCTTTTCTGTCTTCCCCACTAGTGTGTGGTTCATTTTTAAATCTTTGACAGGGTACCTGGCCTCAGAAGTGCTAAAAAAAAAAGCAAAACTTCTGAAGTGGGAGGGGAATATCTGGAGCCTTGAACCTCATAAGAGAGCCTTTAGGCACCTGTTAGTGACCTCTGGAATACTCAGTTTAACAAACAGAAATATGGTTTATCCAGGACATGAAAAACAAACACATTTAGAGCCTCTTTAAGGCCAACCTTTTCGGGCTTCCAATATGATTTTATATGTTTGTTTTTGTTTTTCCAGTCTAAAGACCTAGATATCTTCTGCTTGCTTCCTCAGCTCAATCTTCACCCTCTTTACCCAGCTGTGGACAGAGGAGAGTGACCTGTGCGGACCGTGTAGGCAGGTTCCATTACATCTGGTTTCTACTAGGTTGAGCCAGTGAGGAGCAAAGGCAAACCGGAGAGAAGCAGGAACAGGAGGCTGGGCACTCTCTCAGTGGGAATTATGGCAAGCCCATTTGAGTCCTTCTCCCCTAAAATCTTAGCTCCTTTTGCATGGTGTTCTCCAAGTTCTAGAACCAAACCCTCACATTACCTCTTCATGAATAGCTCTTCTGATAGTAGAATTCTTCTACTTTCCCTATACCCCACCAACATCTTTGTAAATAATCCGTTATTAAATTATTCAAATCATGCTGATTTGGTTATTCCGTTTGTTTTCTGGAGATACCTTGATACGAAACCATTTCCCTTTACTAGGCAACAGAACAGTTATCTCAGATGGATACATTTAGAGGCCATATGACACAGTAGAAAGAGCACAGGCTCTGGAAATAGACAAAATCGGGTTTCCTGTCATTCATTGATTCATTCATTTGATGAGTATCTGGCGTGCCAAGCAGCTTATTCCCTAAAAACCCTCTTCTCCCACAGGAATGGGGCCTGTAACCAATACAATAGAATACCCATCCACCTCCCATCACCATAATTGACATAGCCAGGCAAGCTGCCTCAATTAGGACATCTTTCCTAAGGACTGGAATTGGTATGCAGTGGGTACCAATTCAATTAGAATTTATTTAATTAGAATAGGCGGAGACTCAGCTATGAAGCACTTATCTTCTGCCATGTACATGAAGAAGCAGAGAAAGTTGACATGCAGAGAAAATAGGTTGGAGTCAGAGAATGGAGGGGAGCAGAGATTAAAAACAAAAAACAAAAAACATGTCTGCAGAGAAAAAGCCAGAGATGATGGCTGCCCTAATTTTGTCAGCCCTACAGACCCAGCTGCATTCTTGCTCTTAAATTCTGTGAAATAAGCTTAAATCATTATAATAAACTCCATTTTTTGCTTAAAGCTATCTTAAATGGATTTCTGTTTCTTGCAACCAAAGTCTTTAGACAATGTCCCAGTAGAAGGACTGAATAAGAAAGTATTTCAAGTATCTCTTTTAGCACCTCCAGAAACATTATGCACCAGCCCCCTTCAACCATTATCAGAGCCTCATGTGCCCAGAGCATCAGACTTAGCCCTTCTTTTTATTCAAAATAACAAGCCCATTTTGCTGTCAGGTTTGTTGTTGTCATTGTTGTTGTTGGTGGTGGTGGTGGTGGTGACTTGGTTTGGTTTGATTTTTGTTTGTTTTTGCAACTTTTTCTGCATTCCAGCCCTTCATCTTCCAGATGCTGTCCGATTTGTTTGTGTCTTGTTGGTGCCTTTGTTCTTCAAAGGATTAAGTTAATCATACTTCAATTCATTGCACACCATCATTGGTGCCTACAAATAAAGACACTCTTGTTTTATTTGTATCCTTCATCTCCACTTCCATTATCCTCCTTATGGTAGGTAATTTTGTAGTGTGCTTAATGTGTATATTGCTTATGTTTTCTCAATATACTTATTGTCTTGTAGGCATGTATTTTTGAATGTACTCAAAAGCTACTAGTTCTATATCACATTCTATGTCTTAGTTTTTTCTCACTAAGCACAGTTTTTTCAGCCTCATCCACTTTGCCAGATAGTACCATTTATAATCAGTTTTTTCACATTGATGCCTAGTAGGAATTATGTTGTACCCAGCCGCTCTTCCAATGATAAACTCCCCTTGTTGTCTTCAACCCACCTACTGCTTTGTAAGCCTGCACTGAATATCCTTATTTTAGTCCCCCTCTGGACTTAGGAATTTCTGGGCTACCTAAATGTACATGTATATGGACCTAAGTAATGCCAAATTGCTTTCCAAAAGTGGAAAGTGTAACAATGAAATTGCTGTATTTCTGCATGCTGACAACACTTACAATTTTCTAGACTTCTAATTTTTGCTGGCTTCATGGGTATACAGTGATATCTCATTATTAGTTTAATTTGCATTTTATTACTAATGGTTTAATCAAATTTCCATGTGTTTATTAGTTTTTTCCTCCATTAGTAAATTGCCTGTTTATGGCCTTTGTTCCTTTTTTCCTACTTGGTTTCTGTCTTGTTCCTGTTCATTTGCAGAAGTTGTTTTTATATTCTAGAAGCATAGCATTCTCTCGTCAGTTTCAGCCAAAGCAAATGTTTTCTGCATTCTGCCATCTGTGTGTTGTTTGTCCATGATGCCCTTTATGGAAAGGAAGTCCTTACATTTTTATGTAATCAGACTCCTCAGTGTTTGCTTTATGGTGCTTTTGAAAGCACTGAGATATGGGTACAACACTCTTGGTTATGCCTGACATCTCTAAATCTGAGTTCATTAGTAGCATCCCTTTGGCCATTCCATCCACTCCTCTTCACTGAACTCCAGAGTAGTTTTATTAACTAAATTTCACCTTCTTTGAAACTTTCCCATGCAGAGTTTCAAGCTGTAAAAATCATATATTTTAACTATTTGAAGTCAGGTTCCTTATACCCTTGGACACACATATTACTTTATCTACTTGACTATCAGGAATTCAATGGTGTGGTTACTTTCTCTCAAGATATTCCTCACTCTCATAGATTGGTGCAACTATTGTGGAAATCAGTGTGGAGATTCCTCAAAAAACTAAAACTAGAGGTTCCCAGCTATCCACCTTCTTGGTATCTTTCCAAAAGAATTAAAAGCATCGTACTACAGCAATATATGCACACCTATTTTTTTTTATTAAATTCTTTTATTGGTACATTGTAGGTATACAACACAATTACATTTCTCATTGGGAATTGTACCTTTACATAATGCATCTTGGTTCTTATTTTTTCCCCATTCCTAGCCCTCCCTTCACGCCCTCCACCCTTTCCTATTTGCAGACTTTATTTCCATTTCTCATCATTTTTCCTTTCCCTTCTTTCCTTTCCCCTGCCCCTCCCACTACCCCTACCCCTTTGGACCTTTTCTTCCTATTTTACATTAACGATTATTCATTCTAATCATGGTACATTTTAGGTATACAATATAATGACATTCACCATTGGAAATTTGCACCTTTACATAGTCTCTCTTGGTTCTTATTTTTCACCCTTGCCCAGCCCTCCCTTCAACCCCTCCAGTCCTCCCTATTTACAAAGATTTTGTTCCTATTTTTCCATTTTCTCATATTAATCCCATTCCATTCTATCCTTTCCCCTAGCCCTCCCACTTCCTTCCCCTTTGCCCCTTTTCTTCCTATTTCACATTACCTACTATACATTTAGTCCTTATTTACACTTTCAGTTTCTCACACCAGAGAAACTATTCAGTATTTATACATGTGCACCCCTATGTTTATAGTGGCACAGTTTGAAATAGCTAAATCTTGGAAACAACACAAATGCCCATCAACTGGTGATTGGATAAAGAAGATGTGGTTTGCCGGGGATTTAGCTCAGTGGTTTAGTTGCCTGCTGCGCAAAAGCAAGGACCTGAGTTCAATCCCCGGTACCAAAAAAGAAGATGTAGTTCTTTTATAAAATGGAGTACCATTCAGCTATAAAGAAAGATAAATGAAGGCCGGGGATTTAGCCCAGTGGTTTCCCTGCCTGCTGTGCAAGCACAAGGACCTGAGTTCAATCCCTGGTACCAAAAAAAAAAAAAGAAAAAGAAAGAAAGATAAATGAGTCATTTATAGCTAAATGGATACACCTTGAGACCACACTCTTAAGTGAAATAAATAGGACACATATGTGTAATGCCAATAGTTTCTCTGGTGTGAGAAACAAAGTGTATATAAGGACTAAAAGGTATAATTGATAATGTGAAACGGGAAGAAAATGTTCAAAGGGGAAGAAGAACTAAGGAAGGGGTGGGGGAAAAAAAGGAGGGAAAGAAAAAATGAGAAAAGGAGGAAACAATGGAAACAAACTTCTGTAAATAGGGAGGGGTGGAGAGGTGAAGGGCAGGAAGCGAGATGGAAAAAAGTAAACCAAGATACATCATGTACAGGTACAAATTCCCTAAGATGAATGTGATCATAATGTTCACCAAATTGTACCAATAAACTCAATGAATTTAAAAAAAGATTTTCCTCACTCCCATTTTACTAATCAATTCCATCTGTGTGGGACAGGATTAAACTCAAAATAGCAATCTCCACTGTGTCAACTTCTTGGGAGGGATGACATTTTCATTAAATTAACTTCCCCTGCCCCCTTCTGGAACTTGATTTTTTGTCAATTTCATTATTTTTTTTCTTGAGATCTATAATCCAGTTTACCTGGTTTTATAGCCTGTGACACATTTTTACAACGATATTTCTTTTTCTCTCCTTTATCTTTACCTAAATGATTCCTTTCTTTTTTGTACTGTGAATATTAAAATACCGTAAAAGACTATATTCAAAATGTAGGTTGTTAGGGCCAGGGATTTAGCTCAGTAGCCACCTGCTGCACAAGTGCAAGGAACCAAAAAAAAAAAAAGTAAGTTGTTACTCTGACTCCTTCTATCACTGTTTTGTTTTTATTTTACTTCTCTCGCTTGTTTTCTTTTGTCTTTTTCCTTTCCTTCCACTCCTCCTTACTCCTTTTCTCGCTTCTTCTAGAATTTTACAAATGGCAGAGGCAAAGGTTAACTTTTTACAGATCATAGCAAAGAAACTGCTTCTGTCCAAAAGTAGGTTCCCCACAAATATGAGATATGGTTCCCTGACCAAAAACCTCTTTCCAGCTGCTCATCAAAACTTAGTTCTGTTTCTTTAGAACAGTGTACTTGATCTGTTTTCGCCACCACGTTCCAGGCATGAGTCCCATCCTACTGAGTTTCTTTATATTGGTGAGATTTTATTTTCATCATTGTATAAAATCTCAAAATCTATTTTTATATCACCTGCACTTTGTGCACTGGAGTAAAGGCTACATGTGGTTAGTTTATCTGGGGATTTTTTGTTTGTTTGTTGTTTTCAGACAACCACTTTTTACTTACATTTCCAGTGAATTATGGGATGTTGCCTCTACTATTGCTTTTCTTCCAGTGTCATGCTGGATATCATCTGTAGTATAAAATTTTATGGTTTTTCAGAACACTTTTTAAAATTTCCATCTCCACTTTACCATTTCCTACCAGCACTCACACCTACTCTCCCACATACACCAGGCCCATTTAAAAATTGTAGCGTTCTCAATTCATGTGGCAAGGCTCATAGGAAACAGATTTTCCCTTCAATCTTCTGCCCCAGTTCAAGAACATATCATTCTCTCATCAGTGAACTACAAGCCCCTTAAATGCAGGGACGATGACTTCTCAGAGTCTGCTCCAATGCCTTCCAAGAGACATATAGCAAGCAGTTAGTAAAAACACACTGACTGAGGCATGGTTCTCTTTGGTGTCTTTTTACAGCACACTCATAAGAATTGTTTGCCTGTTATGAAAATAATTTTGACTCTTACTTCTGAACATATTGTAACCATTTATAGCATAGTAAGGTGAGTACCATTTAATGGGAAAAAAGGCACCAGTGGATAATTCAGGTAACAATGTTCTGTTTCTAACACTGTCATTAACAACCTTGAGCATGTTATCCACCTATTTCTTTAATTATGTACAATGACATAATTAACATTTATTCACTGACAGTGCTCTTTGAAATAGACTATAAATTTAAATAAAATAGTTGGAGTAGAAATAAAATAAATTATCCCCACCTAGGAAGCTAAATGGGAGAGAAACTATTTTTCTCAATATGTGAGAAAAAATTTACTGATATCCTGGAACAGGCAGGGAAGAGGAGGAGCTTAAAGGGAGATAGGGTGGAGCTTTCCTGATGACTGTTGTTCCCTCCCCTCAGTGCACTCCACCCCATTTTTCTATTCAAATATACAGTAAAAAATTTTAACTGATAGTAGAATTATAATTCTTGTTAAAATCAGGGAAAAGATTGTTTTGTCTACCTTAGAGATGCTAAAGAGTCAAACTGGGGCAACCTGCACAGGCTCAGAGGTATGGATGCAGAAGAAATAAAACCATAGGATAAGGCAGAAATCACACAGAATGGTGTAGATGTCTCACATTTGGGAATTGGAATTTGGGTCAAATGAAATCAGATCTCTTACAGACCTGGGAAGCCCCTTCACACATCTGAGTTACATATTAAATAGCTATCTGACCGTCACTGAGTTTTCTTTTGGCAATAAAATTTTGGAAGTTTCTAAGAGATGATAATATGTTTTTAATTCTCAACTTTAAGATTTAAAATTATTCATTTTTCTTAATGTGCAATTAACGACATTTCTGCTCATTATTGGAAATGTCTTTTAACTACTGATTTCATAGATTCCAGACACAATTTCCTGCTATATGTTAACATCTTTGAAAGGGAATGCATCTTGTGACTGATAGCAGCTTGCAATTTACTCTTGGCCAAGCAGCAGCCAGGGCATAATTACCAAGGATACAGTTGCCTGAACATAGTTGTTACTCTAAGTGGCTTGACTAAGAATCTACAGTCTCTGATGTTTCAGTTCATCAACAATTTAAGGAGCCTTTTAAAGGAAGAGTAGCTGTGGTTGTTGTCTAAACAGCTTTCCTGAACAGTTTCTGGCATGATCCAAAAAAAAAAAAAAATACCATTGTTAAAACTTGCAGTATAGATATTTTAGCCTGAAGGAAATTCCCAGAGATGGTAGCAGAGAACCCAGTCTTTTTCTTTGTAAGAATTGTTGCTCCACTAATACTCAACATGGCCCAGAGAATAGAAATGCATGGAAAAATACAGACAACTCCAAGTCAAAAAGTGATTCTGAAGTGTCAGATTCAATGTGAAGAAATTATAATAATATTGCAATGACTTTCAGTTATATCTGTGTCCACAGTATGATACCAAAATATCTATTTCTAAAAAGGTCTAAAAGAGCTCCTTAAATAAGAATGAAACTTTAACATATGTTATAAGAAATTATAGTGATCATTTAATTGACAGTTTTTCCTTTCTTAATGATACCTAAAATAGTAATATGCCATATAATCTATGGTGCCTTAATGTCAGCCAAATAAGGGAGACACTTCAGATACTAAAACATGATAAATCTGTTCCAGCTCTCAAGATACTCGTTTGGAAAAGGAAGCAACCAAAAACACATAAAGAATAATAGAAATGGGGCCAAGGATTTAGCTCAGTCGTTCCGGCACCTGCCTCACAAGCACAAGTTTGAGTTCAAGTTCCAAGTTCGATCTCCCGTACCAAAAAATAAAATAAAATAAAATAATAGAAATGAGGCAAAGCAGAGTTACTGCTTTTCCCTGAAATAGTTACAAAACAAGTGCAAGGTCCGGAGATTGATCCTCCGGTACCACACACAAAAAAGGAAAGAGAATGGCCAAAAAACCAAACACAGGAAAGGGAGGGACATCTTGGGGAAACAGCAAGTAGCATATTTTGACTACAGGCTTTCATACCCTTTTTGGCTTCACAGAACCCTTTAAGAATTTGATGAAAATCATGAACCCCATTCCTAGAAATAAAAATGCAAATTCATAACCAAAAAGCTGTGCACACTATTTCTGAGGATTTCCTGTTCACGGGTAGCATGAGAGAGGAGGAAAGAGACAAGGAGAAGTGGAGAAGCAAGTAATCTTTCTAGACATCACACAAGGGGTTGGTGAATGTGATCAAGGCTGAAGAAGTCCCTTTTCTGAAGGAGAGATTTGCACCTGACTGCACATAGGAATAATGACTAAGACAAGTGGGATCCAAGGTCAGGAGGACTCATCCAGACTGCTCACCCAGGGATTAAAGGCTCTGGTGTACCCTTCAAAATCATTCCTGCCTGGAGAATCTGACTTGGATCACATGGGCTTCTGACCTGGTGGAATGAAATCTAGAAAATGTAGATGGGAAATAAAATAAACAGGGACAAAAGGATATCAGAACCTTACTAGAGATTACCTTGATTGACACCCCCCCCCATGCACCAGATTTTATGCTTAATCCAGAGCATACCGAAACATGGTGGCGATTCCTGAGAGAAATAGCTGTTCAGAGCTCTGGTTTAGAAGGATTAATCTTTGGATTAGAGGTGTGTGAACTGGGAGAAACCAGTTAGAGGTTTATAGCAATTGGTTTTTATATTCTCCAGATGCATTCTATTTGTTTGGTTTTTCCAGCTCTCCTTGCCACCCACCATTTGGCAGAGAGCCAGGCCTTTAGTAGGCATTTGGTAGTGCTTGCTGAAGTGAAAGTCATAAATTCACTTTGAAGCTCCCCTTGTCATGTCTTTATTCCTCGACAGGTGGCACCATTACAGCATTATTTACAGAGCAGGGTTCCTTCTATAAGCACAGCACTTCCAAGCAGAAAAGCTATTTTTCAGAGGGAATTCACCTTTGGGGAACAATTTAGAAGTGGGAAAGAAATAGTAGCTAGAATAAAAGACTGGAGAACATTCCTTTTGTATTTCTATCATGTCTTACCATTTCTTATCATTTAGCAGAACCCTGGCTGAATTTCTGTTTCTAAGTATTAAATAAGGAAAAGTGCTTATGAAAACCTGCCTTTTCAAAGCAAGCAATTATATGACTTTTATACAAGAATAGACTCAAATATTTTTGTGGAAGAACTGTTGCTTTGTTCTGGGAAAACTTTTAAGTGAGCCATTTCATTATACTCAAGGAGAGCCCATAATCTGTAATGGCAATTGAGATCATACAAAACCACATGTTTATGTTAGAGGCCAATGTGCATCTTAGAAAAATAACTAATTCTCTAAAACAGATTTTCGTTGTGCCAGGCAAAAGTTGTATCTTACTTCTATGAAATGTGTGTGTGTTCATTTTGAGATTAAGCACTAGACCCTGAGAGGCGCCCCTTAGACCGGTGAGAGAGGGGAGTGTCAGTGAGTGGTTGTGTCCTATGGGTAGTGCTGTGTTGGAACCAGGCATAAAGAATAGTGCAAAGACATGGAGGGGTTGTTTTCCCTGACTCTCATATATCTATAGTGCTCTGGCAAACTTTGATGGTAGCAGACTTGGAATCAATGTGAGGCAGGATTTTTAGCACGAGGTATAAGTCAACAGAATTTGAATTTTTTGAAATAAGATTTATATGTGAATTTGAATTCAGTGTAGAAAATACTGTGGAGGCTCTTGGAGGTAAGGATTCTAGAAGTATAATGTTCAAGCCATGTCATTTCTTCTTTGGTATTTCTTAAAGTTTCATTGCCCTTTAGCTCAGTGATTCTTACTTTTTTTTTTTTACTTAATTCTTACATTCTAAGGTGCTTAAGTAGAAACAATGGACTTTGTCTCTAGAAAGTGTATATACCTGTACAATTTTGCATTCAATTTCAAAGGGCTGTGACTCCCTGAATTTCAGTAGTGACCCTCACCCTTGAGTCCCTGATTAGAAATACCAGCTGAAAACCACTTGTCAGGAGCATTCCAAACAGGAAACACAAGAGGCTAGTGAGAGAAAAGGAGGACCAATGTCAGGAAGAACCTGGGCAGGGTCTATGGGAGATGCTAGTGTTGGAAACTGAAGAAGGTGATGAATTGCTTATCCTAGGAAGATTTTTCTCTCTCTCTGGACTTGGGGAAACAGTCAGAGAACCAGCAAGAGGCCCTGCATTAAGGGACTAGGGCACATTTAGAACAGTAGGTATAGAAAGAGGAACTGAAATGGAGTCAAGGGTTAAAGGACTCAACTAGAACTTTATAAAGGGCTAAGATGCCCTTGAGATTCACATCAGACAATAGAGAATCTGAGCTATAGGGAGTGGGGAAGGACAACAAGGACAGAGCTGTGTCGGGGGATACCTGGGAGCATCAGGTTCTTTCTCTCAAGGAACAGGTCAGGGCAGCCATCTTCTTGGTGTTATTAATGTATTTTTGCCCACTCAATTCTGAGAAAGGTCACTAACCAAAATCTGAACTGCAATTTCTCGTCCAAACTGAGAAGATAAAAAGTAAATTGAGATTATTTCTTTTACAGAATTATTTTAGGCTCTTGATTAAGGAAACTGAGGTCTCCTCTGAAGATCCAAAGGGAACAATTACCAGAGTGTTTCATATTGAGAGCTCTCCAAATCAGACAGACCTGGGTCTGAGTCCTGGTTTTGCCAAGTACCAGTCTATGACCTTGAGCGAGAAAGCCTTGAGTCTATTTCTGAACTGTTGTGTGAAAATAATAATAGTGCCTACAGATAAAACTAGGCATGTGGTAAGTACTCTAATAAATGGCCACTATCATTGTTACCATTAGTGCTGGGTGCTGAAACTGTAACGGGAACCTTTCATCTCCCTGTCCCCAGGTTCGCGTCTCCGGTTCCATACTCTGGTTGTCCTCCCTAGGTCTCAGAACACATTGCCCAACCACTGTATAATTCAAGACTTTCCTTGGCCATCCTATGCATATAGAGTGGCCTCCAAGACCTTTTGGTCCATAGCTACATGACATTTAAGACAAAAAGACGTGCTCAGCTTGGAAATCTCACCATTCCCCTTTCATTATCCTGAAAGATAAAGGTTCTTCAGATAGGAAAAGAGTATATTAAAAGAGAGTTTCTAGAACCTTCCCAGAAGGTTTGGTTTTATTTTCCCCGAGGAGTCTCACCAACCACCCCATCCCAGCCCACTAACATTTGAACAATGTCTCCTAGGGGTCTTATATATTTTTCTCTGCAAAAACTTTTTAACCCTATTTTATACATCAGTCAATTCAGTGTTGGAACTGAAATTTAAGCCCAGAGTGCCTCCAGTGCTCTATCTCTATGCAACAAGCAACAGCAAATGTACACACACACACACACACACACACACACACACACACACACTCACCGTCACCATCCTAGCTTGTTCTGCTCTCAAATGTTGTTCTGGGGAAACCTTGGGAAATCTCCATGACCAAGGGAGCAGCCTAGAGCTGATGTCAGTCTCTGCTCTCTGGGGAACACCTTATCGGCATCCTCCACTAGAGGCCTTAGGCAGTTATTGTGCTTCCCTTTGTGATGTGTCATGCTCAGAGATCCTGGGCAATCCCTCCAGAACAATACCCCCAACTCACCCCCCCATGAACAGGTGTCCCACCTGCCATTCCAGGACTCAGATTCAGAAATCATCTCCCAGGGAGCAGATGCTTCACTGAAAAGAAATCTCTTGCATGTCTTGAGTGCTGACATGTTAGCCTGGAAATCTCAACACATACCCTCTCCTTCCCCCATCCAGGTTGAGATCAAGGTCCAGAATAGAAAATAGTCAGCGTTTGCAGTGCTTGTCCCAGCCAGGACAGAGACAGTCAACTCCTTGGAACTGGAGGCAAGTAGACAGGAGGGAAGGCACATTCCCTGTATTTCCCACTAAAACCTGTTCCATGCAATGGGCCCAGAAGCCCCCGACATCCCCTTAGTACCAGTCAGCAAGGAGGGGAGATGATGCCTTTTTATTAGGGTTAACACCAAGAAAAGCATTGAGAAGGAATACACAAAGGAGGGGGAAGAGCACACAAAATCACCACTTCAGGAGGTAGGAGGGAGGCACGTCAGTTAAGGAACCTCAGGACAGCCACATGCTCCATGCCCTGGGTGGGGAGGAGGAAAAGGGAGAGGAGAGAGGAAAGCGGCATTATAGCTTGGGGCTCTCAGAAGAGTCTGAGGCCCTCTGTACCCAACACCAGAGCCACAAGCCCTGCCCCTCGGGGCTCACACACTACTACACAATTGGACACACATAACACGCACAAGACGTTATGGAGGCAACACCGAGAGGCAGCCGGCGGGGACATATTGACAGCAAAAGGAACTGAAGTTAAGCAGGTGTAGCCAGGAGAGACAGTTTTTGGCTGCAGCCCCCGAGTCCCTCAAACGTCCCCTAAATCTGGGCTGCTGCTGAGAGCACCCAGGCGTCTCTGCCTGTGGACCGGGCTCTTTGTTCTCTAAGCCCCAGGGAGTGGAAAAGCAATCCCAGATGAAGTCAGCAACAAGGCAGGATCCACTCTGCATGCAAAATCCTAGAGACTGAGCTATTTTGTCTTCATGCACATTCATAGCCAGCTCCTCCCAGCCCTGGGACCCCAGAACCCCATTCACCCAGATTCCTACGGCTGCAGTTCCCTCCTCAATCTTCCTTTACCAATCAGCAGCCACAGAGATCTGTGAGGGGGAGAGGCTTCTGCAGAACACTGAATATCCTGGATTTCAATAGAAGGGTACATTTCCTGTTGCCAGAACAGAATACCCCCAGTTCCTTAATTTTAGGTAAATCATTAGAGATTATTTGCCATAGTCCTAGATAAGTCTTTTTTCAGAATAGAAAAAAGCAGGTTTTATTTACACAATTCAGGGGTTCTCCTGCTGCCCAGGGAGAGGGAAAGGGCACGGTAGGGGATGGATGGTAGGGGAGTCCAGAGATGGGCACTTTCTTTCCCAGAGCCTCACCTTTCTCCAGTTTGCTAACACGCTTGACTGGGCAAAAAGAATTGTTGATGCTCCCAAAGTCCTTCGCCCTACTAATGCTTCTTGCAGGGAGTCTCTCCTACCCTGATGCACAGGGGCAGCTGTCGGAGCGCAGCACGCTGCACCGCGCCGTGCAGTCCCCTCGAGTCACGCGCTCAGAAACCCCAAACCAGCCTGGGAAGTTAGTGAACCCCCAGAGTCCCCTCACAGGGAGCCCTCGCCCTCCAGCTGCAGCAGGGTAAAGTCAGGCAGGTCGAGGGGCTCCACAAGTGGCCCGTCCCCCGCAAGGAGACCAGCACAGGGGCTCTCGGAGCGCTCACGGGGACTGGTGGGTGTGGCAGGGCTGGGCATCTCTTTTTCCTCTTCGTAGTCGTCCTCCTCGTCCTCGGGATCGCGACCCAGCAAGCCGCTGTCCCCGACTCCAGGCGAAGGGATCTCCGGCTCTTGGGGGGGACCAGGGAGGCTCCCCTTGCCGCCGACCACGCCCAAGCTGCCCTGGCGGGGCGCCGTGGTCATAATCTGGCACATGGAGACGATGGCCCGCTGGTTGGCGCACACGTCGTCCGAGAGCACCTGGATGTGCGAGGCCTGCTCGTCCAGGGCCCCTCGCATGGCCCTCACGTCCTCGAACAGGGCCTGCAGCTGGGCCTTCAGGTGCTCCATCAGTTCCTTCATGCCGCCGTTGTACTCCCCGGAGATCACGTTCCCCACGGCCGGCACGGTGGACACCTCCAGGGGCGCCGGCATGTCGCCGCCGTCCTTGGTCCTCAGCTCCAGCAGCCCGTCCTCCATTGAGGGGCGCAGAGGGCGGGGGCGGCCCTGGGTCGTGTCCAGCCCGGCCTCCGCGGCGGAGGGGCGGGGGTGGAGGGGGACAGGTCCCCGAGGGTTGGGCAGGAGCCGAGGGAAGAGAAGGTTCCCCAGAGGGGCGGGGAGCCGACGGGAGGAGCCGAGTCCGGGCCGAGGGCGCGGGCAGGATCGGGGGAGGCCGAAGCGAGTCGGCGGGGCGAGTGTCCGGCGCCGGCCTCGGGAACAGGACTTCGGGCTCGCCCCGGGGCGAGAGCGCCCTTCCCCGCCCCACCTCCCGGACTTCGGCCGTGTCCGCGCCGCCCTCCTGGCACCACGAGCAGAAAGCGCCCGCCGGTGGGTGACCCGGGTCGCAGGAGGCGCTCCGCGAGGGGCTCGGGTCGAGGCTGAGGCTGCAGCGCGTCAGACCCGGGACTCCCCCTGAGCGAGAACGGCAGCGCCCGCGAGTGTGGCTGGAGCGGCCGGGGCGGGTCTCCCCGCCGCGCCGCGGATGCTCCTCTGTTTCCAAGGCGACGCACGGCACGTCAGTGACGTGTGTCTCCACGGTAACTAGGACGTGGAGAAGGAAGAGAGGAGGGTGGAAGGGAAGCTGCAGCGGGGCTCAGTTGTCTGGGCCAGAGGATGGGGCGGGGACGCTGCAGTGGCCTTGGGCGAGGCTGAAAAACGCGTGTGGCTGCAATTATCTTAGGAAAGCGTCAGAGAGCAGTTTGCAGCAAGACCTCCCAGGCCCAGGACCAGGCCCGGGAGAGACCATCCCTTTCCCAGTATGACTGTAAGATGCTGAGAACGACTGTCTCCCAAGAATGTTCACCGGCACCTGAGATTCACCTCTGGAGGGTGGCTCTAGAGCTGAGTCCTGCTTCCTCGTCCTCCAGGTGTCCGCAGAAAAGCGGAGAGAGTGGAGAGGCGGAGGTGGCTGGTCCCAGATTTGAGCTGGGGCGCGGTGGCTCCCCGGAGACGGCCAGCCAGGCCAGGCAGTGCAGTGTCCGGGATGGGCAGTTTCTGCCTCTCCCTTCGGCTTCTGCAGTAACCCAGTCCTCTGGCTACCAAAAACACCCGAGCTGAGAAAGAATGAGATTCTCTCCCGCGGGGCGCCCAGCGGCTCCTAACCAGGTCACTGGGAGTTTGTCCAGGATGGTGAGGCCAAGGACTCGACTTTTGAGAATGGAAGCGCCGCCGTACAGCTAGAGAATTTCGTCTCCCCAGCAGTCTCCATCATGGAATCCCCAGCACCTAAAATAGTGTCTGGCACATAGTAGTAAGTAGATGCTTAATGTATTTGTTGAATGAATACTTTTAACAAGAACCAAGTTCCGGGCCGGGGATTTAGCTCAGTGGCACCGTGCCTGCCTCGAAGCCACAAGGTCCTGAGTTCGGATTCCCGGTACAAAAAAAAAGTTCCATTTCGTCATTTAGAACTCTCCAGCCTGGAATTTTAGAAGACCTGGATTCAGTTTCATTTCTGCCATTTACTAATTTAAAGACCTCGGCTAAATCATTTTCCTGATCCTCAGGGATTGCAGTGGATAGTTTATAGTGTTTTTCTAACTTTGAATAACACATTGCATCACTTCACAATTAAAAGGGTAGCTATTGACAATCGGGAGGGGGGACTAGAGAGAAGCATGGTGCGTGAGGGTCGCATGCTCAGACATTCACTGAATGTCCCCGATCTTTGTGACTTCCTCTTTAGGGAAAAAATGGATTTCATATATTTACAGAGGACACAGACTGGAAAGCAGTCACCTGTAGGCAGTAGCATACTCATTTATAACCACCCTAGTAAATCAGAGAAGCCCAGTGATTGGAAACCAAAATTAAAGTTCACAAGAAAAAATAAACCTGTATCACTTAAAAGTAGAAATAAACTAAGTATCAGTGAGTGCTTTTTGCAATATTTATGATTCAACAATTGCAAATGTGTTACCTTGGGCTGCCTTGGCTGCGTGCCCTAGTGACAGAGTATCACTGGCCCTGGGAAAAGTCTGTATCACCAAACAACCATTTGGCCTATGCCTGTCTTACTGCTGTTAAAATAAAAGCAAGCTGAGCTGAGGATTTAGCTCAGTGGTTTCACCACTGCCTGCCTCACAAGTGCAAGGTCCGGAGTTTGATCCCTGGTACCAAAAAAAAATTTTTAATAAAAATAAATAAATAAAAGCAAGTTGAAAATATCCTAAGTGTCCAACCACAAAATGTTTAAATAAATAATGTTAGGCACTACACACCTATTAGAAATTTGATTTCCCAAAATAAATATTTAAACAAATTTGAAACTAATGACTCAATCCTATTTGTTTGCTCATTCTTTCCTTCATTCTATAAACCTGTGGCATGCTCCTCTTGATTACCACTGTTACCTCTGCCATTTGCCCCATACATGGTTACATGGTTAATAAGCTTTAGCTTATTCCTAAAGCTCTAGCTCAAAAGACAGAAAGCTTTCTTTTTTTTTTTTTTAAATCCAGCCGAAGTGGGCTGGTATTTACAAAGACTTTAAAATACTGGAAAACTAGAAACAGAGGCAGGGAACATAAAAAAAAAGCTGAGCTTGTACACTATACATTTCTGATCACACTACAATAAACACATTCTTGGGGCTTACAGGTTCAACCCTGATGCTTATCCTTCCCAGGAGAGCCCTGCCATGGCCAGAAAAGACTGGCATGGTTTTCAGGCTGGGTTCATTTTTTCACATCCCTTGACTAACACTTCACATGGGAGATTTCATCTTGCCAGTTCTCTAACCCTTCAGGTGGGTCCCTGCCTTCTATCTACAGTGTGATCCTGTGTAAGTCCTCCCATCCTCATGGTCCCATAAGTTTACATTAAACACAGCTGTCATAGAGTAGGAGCTGGGTTATGCCATCACACAAGGCCCTTTGCCACTATTGTTAAGGACACCATGTGTCAAGGCTTTCCACATCAGATTACATCACACTACCCAGAGGTTCTGGGCATGCAGTCCACGGAGAGTACAGGGGGTCTGAGCCCAGAGGGAGGGGAAATTATTGGAGAAACACCAAAGACCATGGGAAACAGGTACAGAGATCCAGGGGTGTGGTGGATCCATTCAAGTTCCAGGTCAGACATTTGAGGTGGTATGTGGGACCTGAGGGTGTGGACCCGTAGCAGGACTTGAAAATATAGGGAGGAGATATTTAGTGCATCAGATTTAGAACCAAATCATTTCCAAAATTCTGTGTAAAAATTAGACAAGGAGAAATAGACAATTTTAGTTTCAGGAAAATGAGGGGAACCAATGTAGAAAGCAAAGCTGAGCCTTTGTCCGCTGGCTGATTGCAGGACTGGGCCCTCTGGATGCCAAGGCCTTGAGGAAGCTGGATGGTACACACCCCAGCCATCTCACTAAAGGATCCAGAGAAAATGCCACACAGAGAAAATAATCCCTGTACAATCTTAGGCTTCCTCTCTTATCCTCTGAAAATCAGCTGTTCTGTTCCTCTATCTGACTCTCATTAGCCCGTAGGGAGAAAAGACCCCCATGATGCATGGATATAGATCTCCATCAAATATACCTAATCCCGGGGATTGTGTTCTCATCAAAATTGAGATTCTGAATAGACCCTGCCATTTTCTTTTCTCTAGTACCTAGTTATCTCCAGGCTCTATTTTATACAGCTGGTATATTTTTTTTATTCATTAAGTTTATTGGTACATTTTAGGTATACAATATGATGACATTCATCACTGGGAATTTGTACCTTTACATAATACATCTTGGTTCTTTTTTTTTCCCTCATTCCCCTGCCTTCCCTTCAACCTCTCCATCCCTCCCTATTTACAAAGACTTTGTTTCCATTTTTTCCTTTTCTCATATTTATTCCTTTCCCTTCTTTCTTTTCCCCTACACCTCCCACCTCCCCTTCCCCTTTGAACCTTTTCTTCCTATTTCACATTACTATTATACATTTGATCCTTATTTACACTTTGAGTTTCTCACACAAGAGAAACTATTCAGTATTTACACGTGTGTGTCCTATTTATTTCGCTTAAGAGTATGGCCTCAATGTGCATCCATTTAGCTATAAGTGTCTCTAATTTCTCATTCTTTATGGCTGAGTAGTACTCCTTTTTTTTTTTAACCCACATCTTCTTTATCCATTTTCCAGTTGATGGGCACTTGGGCTGTTTCCATGTTTTAGCTATTACAAACTGTGACACTATGAACATGGGTGCACATATATCGCTGTGGTATGATTCTTTTAATTCTTTTGGGAAAAATACCCAGCAGGGGAATAGCTGGGTCAAATGGGACCTCTAATCCTAGTTTTCTGAGGTATCTCCATACTGATTTCCACAGTGGTTGCACCAGTCTACACTCCCACAGACAGAGGAGACGTGTTCCTCTTTCCCCACAACCCCGCCAGCATTTGTCAGCCATTCTTTCTGGAGTGAGGTAGAATCTCAGTGTTATTTTCATTTGCATCTCTCAAATGAGCAGTGATGTTGAACATGTTTATTTGTACGGCTGGTGTATTTTTGCACACTAAATCTGAAGAAGTTGCTCACCTGCCTCAGGTCTAGAACAAAGAGCTAATTCAAACTATAATGGTGACAGCTTCACTTTAGTCTAAAATCCCAGCTAATACATCCAAAGTGTGCCTTATGAAGCTGCACTGCCTTCTGACCCATCTCAGCATGATATCACATTCAAAAGAAACATATCTAGTAGCCAAAAAAGAATTTTAAAACAATTCCCATTTTATCACAGTCTCCACGAAAACCCTAAAGGGGATTACGTTCCAGGTACAAAGCAAAACATCTTAAGTTTCTCTCCCCTCCTCTTCTGCTTATCTCACACATCATGGTGTAGCCATTGCCGCTGGTCTCTTTCTCTTCTCCTGTAATATCCCCAAGCTTTCTGTCAAGCCCAGCCCTTACCTCCTTGCTCCCTTGTCCCCCTCATCTCTCCAACATATTATTTTTGTCCCCTGCAGGAAGGGACTCTAATGTAAATTTGTCAGTCTGATGTAAATCACACCAAGCTTGTTTTGGATCATTTGATTCTGTCCCTCGTTTCCCTGGTTTGCACAGGGACAAGGAATCCCAGCTGTCAATTACTGGGACTTCTCAGACAGTGAGAAAGATTGGAAGGCTGAGAACACTCATATTGTGTGGTTTGTCTGTCACATGGACTAGACTGACTCTGAACTAGAGGGTGTTTTGCCTGATGTAACAGCTGAGCGCCTTTGCTCACCTCCACCATATGTGTTCAGAGAAATGGGCACAGTGGTCAGCCCTGGGGCCTTGCGAGCCTCTGGCTAGATTGGGGGAATCCAACTCCCCACACCCTCAAGAGCCTTCAGTGTTACAGACGCGACATGAGGTACCCACCCATACCTCACTTAAAGCCTGCATCCAGTTGCTTGTTCTGTCACCTCATACTATCTTCAGAGCCACTCTCAAGCCCTTCTTTCTCCTCCATATTAATTTTCCTCAGAGAAGAAATTCAAAGAAACTTTCAACTTCTCATGCAATCAGAATTTCCACCGAAAATAACCCTTCATTCCAATTAAACCAGTCTCGCCTATACCCACCCTTCCTCTCCTTTGTTCCCACTGCAACAACTTCTCCTATATACTCTTGAGGAGACATTTTCTCCACTCAGTGCCTGTCCAAACTTGTATCCTGTGCCACTAGGACGTGGAGGGCTCCAATCC